TTCTTAAAGTTGCTAAGGAGGGATTTCTGGGAATTGTAGTCCACACATCTTAAAATCGCTGATGTTGAGAAACACTCTTCTAGAGGACTACTTCTCCATCCTTGTAAAAAAACGAGTACAGCCTTAAATGTACCATTTTGTATAATTAAATGGGGTAAAAGATTATCCGATGACAGGCTTTTGATGTGTGCATTAAATATCCCCAACAGATGCTTACAGCAGATAAAGGTATTGCCACTCTGCATTTAAAATATTTTAGTCTGCCTTTAAGGGCCTCAGAAATGCACAGAAAAGGCAAGTGTAATACAAAACAATTAACAATCATCAATATTAAGTTATAACCATTCCCAGAAAAAGTTAAAATGCAACCCATTTACAGAAGCACCTCAAGAGAAATAAATCCCCCAAAGAAATAGCGACTTTTCAGAGCTTTTCAAAGGCTTGTAATGATGAGGCCTGGGACCTCTGTTATTGAAAGGTACTGATGAGTGACAGTTTCGCCTGTTGAATTTCTGCTCTCTTAAAAGAACAGAAGGAATTTTACTCCTGAATGGATCCAAAGCATTACAGTTGCTGAGGCATTAAGAGGTTTATATTTCTTTCTGTAAGATGTCTTTAGTAATGAGCACTGTAAAAGGCAAAATAATTTGGAGCTTGTGTTTGAATTTTAATTTTCTGCTATGCATTCAACTCTTGATTTTGGGAAAGCAGAGTTTATTATTCCTACTAAAATATGAAAGGGGTGGGGGGAGGGCACTTGTGTTGTGCTTTTGTACACCTGTCTAGCACTGAGGCAGAATAGAGACCCATTCACACCAAGACCTATTATAATCTTAATCCAGGTCTGCTAGAAAATAAACTCTAACCACCCTTCTTTAAAGCAGTGCATCATCGCTCCAGCTGTAAAAAGTGCAGGAACAATGTGAGCACTTTTGCCTTCTCTGCACAGCCACAAAAGGACTTTCTTGCCAAAACACAAGACAATGGCAGGGAGTTGGGGTTATTTTTTTTTTCAACAAATCCAGTTTGTTCATATACTGGGATAGATCCTATGCTGGAACCCAGAACTGAAATAAGAAAGGCATTCATTTCCTGGAGTGACCCAGTTTAGCAGAAAGATAGCAAGAGAAGGAAAGGATCCACAAGCTTGTCTATCCCATCTTCTGGGAAATGTTCCTATGTTCTAGATGTGGAAGAGGAGCAGGTAACCATGACAGATCGTTAAACTGGATTTCTATATATGACTCAATTATCATCACTGCACTCTGATTGCCAGCCATCCAAATAATCCCTTGAGCGCGTGTTCTGAAGACCCAGTTTGAGGTCCTGTCCACTTTTCAAGAATATTTTTCCTTGGCATTTTTTTTTCTGCTTTTGCCCAGGACTTGAGTTTCAGCACCATCCACTGGGATCTACCCTGTCTTTCTTCCAGGGATCAAGGGAATACACATAGTGAGCTCTTCCTCCAATTTTTCCAACCACCACTCTTCAAGGAAATCTGGTTTGAGAGACAGGAACTGGCCTGTGCAAGCTTTCTCCAACCTCTTACTCTCAAAATATATTGAACACCAACTTCCAGAATGCACAGCCAAGAGCAGTCAGGCTGTCTGTTGGGAAAAGCTGCTAGGAATCAACTGCTACATCTTTTCATATTTGTGCAATATTTGTAGGACCACAGATCTGAAGTGGAGCAAACTGGAACATAAGTCATACAAAAAAAGAGCTAGAAACTGTATGTCCATTAGTAAAAGCTGCTTTTTTCTGGTGACTTTTTTTCACCAACTCCGAAGTGTGTCCTCGTCTCTAAACTGAAAGCTGTTGTACTGGTGTAGTGATGGTGCTGGAGTTGGAGGAAAGAGACCATGTTCTAGTTCCCCTTCATCCATGGAAACTCACTGGGTGACTTTGGGGGAATTGGGCGGGGGGGTTTTTTGCAACCAAACCTAGCTCACAGGGTAATTGTTGTGGGGAAAAATAGGAAGAGGGAGTGCTGTGTATATTGCCTTCAGCTTCTGAACAAATATAGGCTATACCAGTGTTTCTCAACCTTGGCAGCTGGAAGACGTGTGGACTTTAACTCCCAGAATTCCCCAGCCAGCAAGCTGAAGGCAAGTTGCCAAGGTCGAGAAATACTGGGCTCTACATTAAATGAGTAAGATGCAGCGCTAGTAGACCCTGCACCCCTTCACTCCTGCTACATGTCTTTGCATTGCTTCTTCGAAACAAAACACCTACACACACAATCCCTAAGTCACTATGTCTCTCCACGATCTTCAGTCATGGCTCCCCTTTAATAGCACCCCCACCATCTTTTTCTCACCTGAACAGCTAGGCTGTGCTTAATTGAGGCTCTAACCGCCAGGAATTGCTGCCCAAGGTACTCATGCCCCTAAATGTTCCTCTAGAACAGGGTGTCCCCCGAGGGAAGGGTAGCTCCTGGCCTTCTGGAAGCTCATAAAATGTTTGTGCTAGAAGGATTTACAGACTTGCGTGCTGCAGAGCTCCTGGTGCCAGGAACATTAATTGTAATTTTTACCCCAACGATGTCTTGTATTTCTGTTATTGGATGTTAATGCAATTGCTGCACTGGCTGCAGATAGATGTTGCTTTCGTGCTCCACTTAGAATCGCCTTGACTAAAGCTGTTTATAGTTTTGTAAACAAATAAATAATTCTCCAACCAGCAGACCACAGGTCCCAGAATAAAACACAGACACCAGGTTCAGAGGAACAGAGAGGAATCTTGCAGGGGCAGACCACCCCTACATTTATTTCCAAAACACTCAAGCAGTTCTTGAAATCCTTAAAAAATAGGAATGCCATTTTCAAGAGGGGGCATTAGAGCTGCATGACTGCTCCCAGCAGCCAGCGATTGAGGATCCTGTGTTAAGTTTGTAAAATGCTTGAAGAGAAACCACTGAATTCCAAGGCAAGTTGGAGAGCCTCTTCAGGGAAGGCTGAAAGGAAGAAGAGCAATGGAACAAGTTCTTCGGGATCCAGGGAAAGGATCCAGTGATACCCAAAGGAAAATCTGTGAGCAGGCTCAGGAAGGTACTCGGCAGGGAGAAGAGAGGGGGTATTTCGGGGATAGGGATCCACTTGAACAGGGACCTCAGGAAGTACCTTGGACGACTGAAGGGATCCCCAGACTAGAGCCCAAGAAAAGGTGGAACAGGTCCTGGTGGATCTAAGGCTGGTCTTGATAAGGTAAACCACGAGACCCCTGGGTAGTCCACGGATGGAAGGGCAAGTTAGGGGAAACAGGGCCAGATGCTCAGCTGATGTAGATCCGGTGGAAGTCATTGGCACCAAAGGCGGCATTGCACTTGGGGCATTTCCGCTGGCGGGTGTCGTAGCGCGTCTTGACACAGTCGAAGCAGAAGACGTGGAAGCATTTGGTGAGGACGGCGTCCTTCTTGCGCGTGTTGCAACACGGACACGTGAGCTTAGCCTGGGGATGTGCACAGACCACAGATGAGGCACTGGGGTATCCCAGACGGGCCTTTCCCCTAATTTACAAACCCAGTTTCTCCTGCTGGTCCCTCCCCTCACCTTGTACTCCTTGATCTCCTCCTGTAAGATCTCATCAGCATCTGCATACACCTCCACTTTGCGCTGTTTTTCCAGTTTGCGCCGAAGGCGAGATATGTCCTCCTGAGAAAAGCAGGCACATCAGAGAGTCCGGAGGGGGAGAGAAGCACCGTGATAAACCACGGCTGCATTCTTAGGAGTATCTCCTTGCAGCCATGAGATCTAATCGCCTGTTTCACCCATCATGGGCTTCCCCTTTTCCCCTTGTACCTGAGCTCTTTTGAGGTTGAAAGACTCCTTCTCTTTGGCTGCCCGGTTCTCAGCCATGCAGGTCTGGATCTCCTTCAGTTTAGCCTGCACGTGCTCCAGCTGCACCTTCAGGTCTTCCGCCAGCTGGGCTGCCTCCACTGCCTGCAAACAGAACAGGGCATCCAAGCTCCATCCACACCAACTTCTAAATGGTGATCCCCCTCACCTCCGGTTGCGAATACTCCCCATGAGATCCCAGAGATCCCATCCATCAAAATCCCATTTCTAGGGCTGCACTTGATACAGTTTTCTCTACTTTTTAAAAAATAAGTAGGGATTTTTTATTGGAAGTAATGAGGGCACCCACGGCCCACACTCACTTCCTCACTGGGTAGCCATCAGCCTGGCTCCTCACCTTCCTCTTGTTGAGCTCCAGAGCCTGGCTGCGCAAGGTGAGCTCTTTCTCCACGGTGCCCATATTGCCCTGCAGAACTCGCTCCTTCTCCTCCAGCTTTTGCACTACTAAGAGCTGCGTGTCCACCTAAGGAAAGCCATCAGAGCCACTCTGTTCAGAACAAATTCCAGAAGCCACCCTTTTCTGGTCTTCCTCTCATTTAACGGGATCTTCCTTCAAAGCTCTGATCCCCCAAACTGGTGGTGGTGGGGAGGCTGCCTACCTGAGACTTGAGGGCCAGCACCTGCTCAGCCAGTTCTTCCTTCTCCTCCCGCAGGAGCTTGTGAATCTGGTTGGATTTGATGCGCTCTGACATCAGCTTGAAGTTGGCGTCATCCTTCTCGCGCAGCTGCTGGTTTAGTCGCATGTTCTGCTCTTGCATGTCCTCAAAAGCTTGGCCCGTCACGTCCATCTCTGAGAGCAGAGCCTCTTCCTCCTGCCCCATAAAAATAAATAAATAAAAGCAATAGGAGAAACGGAGTTCTTCCAACTCTGTCCCCCACCCCAGCCCTTACTAGTAGCCTCATAACCACATTTTCTCCTTCTCATGCACACACATGGAGACAGGCTCTCAGCCCTGATAGGAGGAGCCCAGAAGCATCTGACCAGCCACAGCTTACCTAGATGGACTCCTGGACTGATCTGAATGGGTTGTTCTTACACATGCTAACCACCAGGTCTTGAGCCTCATCTCTATGAACGTGGTCCTCCACAGCAACCAGTGGACCAAGTCAAATGAGTCCATGGTTATGGAAAAGCTGGAGCCACCCTCAGAGCCTTTCTAAGCTCCCTCTCTGGGGCGCTGCTTCTGGCGGCACAAATTCCTCCCAGAAAGAAATACCTGCTTGGTTGCTGCCAGCTTTTTCTGCAGATGCTCAATTTGTTCCTCGGCCAACTTGATCTTACGTAAGGCATCCTCATCGGCCATTTTCTTGCTCTCTTTCTTCTCCTTCTCCTCCAGTTCACGGATCCTCACCCGCAGCTCTTCCACCTGCCAAAGGAATAAGTCAAAGAGAACAGGGGCAACTCCTAAGCCTGAGACCCCCCCAGGACAGAATCCTTCCAAGTACTGTACATCCTGCAGATCTAACTAAGATAATAAGCTCAATTACAAATGCCATGTGATTTACCCAGCCAACCCTTCTTTTGCGAGCTGGTTCTTCCCTACATGAGGTAACCACAGCCATTTTCTTCATTTAGTCACATCATCTTGCCCAGAACCAGATCCTGAAATGCTCTGTTATGGCATTCAAGTGTATGAAACTATGGCAGCCTCTAATCGGGCTGAGCTTAGCAGACCCAGGCACTGGAGTGACATACAGGTCCAGGTCTTCTATGACAAGAGGGTGGGCAGATGAACTGGAACTTGGGGAAGACTCCCATCTCCACACAGGCCACACCTTTGTCTCACCTCAGCTTTGGTTTTCTTCTCGGCTGCCATGAGTTGCACTTTGTCCCGCTGTTCCTTGGGTGCTGACTTGTACATGTCCAAGAGAAGCTTCATCTCCTTCTGGCTCTCCTGAGCCTTTCTGGGAAAGGAAACCGAATCCACGTGAAGAAGCCCCAACTTACAAATGAGGGACCATGTCATTTCTTGACTATCAACCACAGGACAGCAAATTCTAGGTTTCCTCGGGGTCTAAGAAGCCTATCAAAGCTACGGGTTGCAGGAGGAAGGGGATCTCTTATGAAATTGCAGGATGAGATCAATTATTATAGCATCCTGTAGAGAAGGGTCCCTCAACCTCAGCAACTTTAAGATGTGTGGACTTCAACTCCCAGAATTCCCCAGCCAGCCATGGGAGTTGAAATCCACACATCTTAAAGTTGCTAAGGTTGAGGAACCCTGCTGTAGAGAGTAAGGAAGACAACCTTGATAGAAATACACAGGAACTGTTAGCTGAGCAAAAGGGACTGAAGCATTTTTTAAGCCCAGAATGGTGAGATATCATTTGAAAGTAGCTCAGGCAGACACCTCCTAATTCACTGAACTGTAAGAAGAGAGATAAGGTATTTTATTTATTTATATTTCAAATTTGGTCACTGCCCATCTCACTAGAAAGTGACTCTGGGCGGTTTACATTAAAAACAAAAAATAAATATTAATTAAAATACAATTAAAACACAATAAACACCATATTCATACATAAATATCTTCCAAGGTGCTGCAGGTAGAAAGGATAAGAACATACAGGAGCATCTTCAAGGTATGGCACAATCAGACCTGCAAGACTCTGCTACTATAGCCAAACCCAATAAAAATAGTTCTAGCCTTCCTGTGATGTTGATTTCTTGGTCTGGTCTACCTGGTGGAAGCGACACCTCCTGACAGATTTTTTTTCCTTGCAATAATCCTTCTTCCTGGGCCAGTCATCAAGGAATGTTTGTTGAGACTCAAGGCTTCCAATGGCAACACTCACAATATCCAGGAATGCCTCTGCTTGAATAGTGCCCTAATCCTCCTCTGGTATGTATGGGTACACAGCAGCTCCTCGGAGTCTCAGGATGGGCAGAGATCCTACCCAGGTGAGACTTTTTCCCTTTTCAGCCTAACGTGTTTTCCAGATAGAACAAACCCAGCACACTCTCACCCTTTCTACATTCCAGGCAACCTTCTCACCCTAGTTTCAAAAACAAAACCCACTCGACTCCTCTGCCCACCAGGCCAGCCTTCCCTTTCCCCAAGGCTCACTTGAGTTCAGTTCGTAGCTGCTTGAGCAGATCTGAATCTTTCTTCTTGGCATCTTCGCTACCTCCGCCACCTTTCTGCTTCTCCCGATCCCTTGAAGAAGAGGAGGAGGAAGAGGAGGAGGAAGAAGAGGCCTCTTTGTCACGATCCCGTGACCTCTCACGGTCAACGCCCCGGTCTCCACCACGTCCCTTGGACCGCTCAGGCTCCTTGGCACGGGGTGGTGGCGGTGGCTGAGGAGTGGGAGGCTGGGGGGCAGAGGTCTCCTCTTCTTCCTTTTTCACTCCCTCAGGGTTCCCAAGCAGCTGAGGAGACACCACCTCTTCCTTGGGCTCCTTCTTTACTTGCACCTCCTTGAGTTCCTTCTTTACTTCGGAGGGTGCTGTTTCCTCCTCCTCTTTAAGAGGGGCTACCCCAGGGGGGCCCAGTGGCCCCCCAGAGTCTTCGTTTCCTGGGGTTGGAGGTACAGCGGCCAAACCAGAAGGAAACCCACTCTGTTGCATGCGAACCTGAGGAAAGAACAAGCCAACAGGCACTTTAGGACGAGGTGGCAGCCAAGCCTGCATTCAGACACCCCGTTTGATTTCATTGTCCACTAGTGGACTAAACAGAGGATAGGACAAACTGCAAAAGAAGAGAAATGAACAAGCAGCATCAGCAGAGGAGACCACCACGGATGGCAGGAAACTGGTATACCCACAGGTATACCTACAGGTATACCCACAGTAAACCCTGCCAGATCTTACATTCACAGTCAAAGCACATTTGAGCATTGATTCCTTTTTCAATGAAAAGAAAAGAATATCAAGATGATCTGCAAGTCCTCAGGTTCCTGACTCTCAAGCAGAACGATGTTCTTCCCGAGGGTTCAAATCTAAACCAGGCAGGAGAGAAGGGGTGGAACCCCATCCACCTGATGTCCAGGCCTCCCTTCCACCATTCCCCCTGGGAGACCCACCTTGTTGATCTCAGCCTGCACCTCCCGCAGTTTGCGCTTATACCGTTGCACGTCTCCCTTCAGCTGATGGTTATGATTCTGGAGGCTGCTAATGAGGTGGCGCATCTCCCGGTTGATGGGACCTCGGATTCAAAAAGGGAGGCAGAACAAGTGATTTAACAGCTTTGTCCACCCCAGTTCTCCACAGAGGTGTTCAGCATCTCTCCTCCTCATTTGTTATTTAACCTTTCATTCAGGAGCTCAAGGCAGTATACATCATGTTCCCTCCTCCTATCTTTTCCCACAACAACCACCCTGTGAGGTAGGTTGGGGCCAAAGTCCCCCAGGGAGCTTCTGGGGCTGAGGGAAGCCTAGATCCTGGGTCTCTCCCTCCTAGTCCAACACCTGAACCACTACACCACACTAGCTCTAAAAACCCAAATTTTGAATTAAAAAAAAAAATCTTTTAAAAGACTAGTGGGAGCTCCAGCCCAACATTTATTAAAAGAATGTCTATACCACTTCTCATTACAAAGAATCCCAAAGTAGTGTAGAGTAACCAGAGAGACCTTTCAAACAATTAAAAATGACTAAAACCGTTTTTTTAAAAAAAGACAAACAAACTGGAAGGATGATTTAAAAGTGACTCCACACTGGGGATAACCAGAGCCTTTCCAACAATCAGAATGTGGCAGGGAAAGATTAGGTTTCTTGGGGGAGGAAAAAGATGAGGAGAGAGAACACCAGTTGGTATCCTCTCCTTGTGGCCAGGAATCAAAGACCTTGAAGGAGGAGGGAAAGGCCATCTCCTGACCATGGCAGGTCTCCAGGGCAGGAAAACCATCTGTTACATCAGTGTTTCTCAACCTTGGCAGCTTTAAGATGCGTGGACTTCAACTCCCAGAATTCCTGGGAGTGCTGGCTGGGGAATTCTGGGAATTGAAGTCCATGCATCTTAAAGTTGCCACAGTTGAGAAACACTGCGTTAGGGCATACTGGGCTCCCCCAACAATGAGGAAATGCAGCTCACCAGCTTGCTCGTTGGCTGCCAGGTTCTGCTCAAATTCGATGCGCAGCATCTCGTACTCCTTGCGCACCTGAGCCAGGGTGTCCTCCAGCTGGATCACCTCCGTCCGCAGCTTCTTCTGCACATTCAGCTCATCACTCTGTCGTCAAGGAGGGGGAAGCGACATCAGCCCCGAGGAGGCAAAGTATGCATCCAAGAGGCCCTGCTCTCCTTAGTAGCACTGCGGTTGTAACACGTGTTCTGAACGTACGATGACCCATGGCCGAGACCAGGAGACAGAGAACACCCCAGTGCCCCTTACAGCGGGGCGGGACTCACCTCCATGTGCTCGATGTGGCGCAGGTGGCTGTTCTTGGTGGTGAGAAGCAGGGCCCGGGCCTCATCGAGCTGTGTTTTCACCTGCAGGCTCTCATTGTACAGCAGTGAGAACTGGGACTGTAGCACTTTGTACTCCAGAGTCTCCTTCACGGCCTCTTCGGGAAGACTCCGCAGCGCCACCTTCGGGTCAGCAGTACAGAAGGGAAGCAAGCCAGATGCAGGGCAACACTGGATGCGTTATCCACAGAGCAAAGGGGGTGGGGGTGGAGAAGCATTCCCTCTCACTGGCCCAAACAGCTATTTAAAATCTCTACCCAATCTTCAGCAACAGATTAACACCAGGTACCAAAATCAGTCTGAGGCCTGAGGCTAGCCGCTTGATCTTTGAGATGCTGCTTACAAGCTAAAGCAGTGTTTCTCAACCTTGCCGACAATAAGACGTGTGGACTTCAACTCCCAGAATTCCCCAGCCCCCCCACGGGGGGGGGGGGGAT